AAATTTAAACAAGAAGTAACTTTAGTTAGTAGATGTATACTAAGAAATATTAACTAAAACAATATCGTTATATCTCTTTAGTGTAAATACAACCAGTGATTATTGAAAATGGTAAAGCTACCTCGGCTACACTATAATCACCTAATGCATGATGGCGGTTTGTGGAGCTTTCCGCTTGTAAGAATGTTAAATGAACAATCTTTGTTAGTTTTCCACAAAATTACTGGTTGTGTTTACACCATCGTAGTCAGTATCGTTCATTAACCCTGTAACACCAATTTGGTATTTTACTTAAATCAGCACCACCTTAAAGCAGCAGTGCCACCCGCTGCGCATCAGTTCGGTACATAACATTTTATCTTCGCAATCTCTCAGAAACAATTGTAACTTGGGAATATTCTTTCTTTATGAAGCGAAGCTATGGAGGCGTCATCAAGTGATGTAAACATATTATTAATGTGCATATATTTATTACGTTTATGTAAAACAGAAAAGCCTAAACAATTGTTATAACTCTACACAGGTTAACCTTTGCAGTTGCAAAAGTTCATGTGCCACAAAGAGAAAAGAAATTGAATTGGGATATTTTCTAAAGATTCTGTGTCAATAGATATTGTGATGACATTGAGATTTCTTTTTGTTGTAGCTGCACCAAAGGCAGCAAGTTTGACTGTTTCCTTTGCAGATGGTTGTACTCTTAGTTGTAATGCAAGAGATTGTGACACAAAGGTACATTGTGCACCTTCATCGAAAGAATGTTAGTTTCAATTGCTGTATCATCTGATCTGACTGTGGCAACGGCTGTCTTGAGTAATGATATTTGATGTGGACTAGAGTTTATATAACTCATCTGTGTTGTGGGTGCCAAGGTCACATGACTGGTATTTTGGTTTTGAGTTTCTTTATCCTGAGTATCTTCATTTTTTTGTGTAGCTGGTTTTTCTTCCTCGCATAGACTAAGTATGGTGTGTGCGGTTGCATTTGGCACAGCGATTCTTTGATTGACATTTTGAAGCCTAGTGATGACCAAGACAATTAAAGCATAGATTTTTTTTCTTGATTATTTCCACTCGCTTGGAGTGGTCTGTGACTGTTTGGCAATGTTTAGGTGAGTGGGCCTTCTTACAATAGACACAAGGTGGAGGGGCCTTTACTCAATGAGGGGAGTTGGGTTGAAGGACGATGTGATGGTCGAGGTATTGTTCTTACTTGTTGATGTTGGGTTGACGAATTTTCCTGCCTCTAGGATTCTTAGTTCTTGCTGAAGGGTGTTTCAAAGTTGGTTGATGGTCCAATCTTGAGTTTTGTGGTCCCGTGCTAGGTTTCTTTGTATGTTATCTGGGAACTTGCTAAGGTATTAAGAGGTCACCATATGACTCCTGCATCTTGCCAAAGGAAGCAAGACCATGGATGTGCGTTTCAAGTGTATCATAGAATCTTTGAAGACTTTCCAGCTGTCCACTAGGACCTTGAATGTCCAAGAGTGCCTGCATGTGTGCATTGATAACTCTGTGCTTCTGCCCAAATCTTTCCTTGAGGAGGGTCACAGCTTGTTCGTAGTTACTGTTCATAAGTTAAAACCCAGTGATTGAGTGTAATGCTTCATAGCTTAGTAGTGCCTTTAAATAGTTGAATTTCTAAATGCCGTTTAATGAGGGATTTCTACGTACTGCAACTTCGAAGGAATCCCAGAAAGACTGCCAGTTTAAGGGGTTCCCAGAAAATATAGGCCAAGCGAAGATCACAAGCCCAGAAGAACTAGAGGCAGAGATATTCACAGCTGAAGAATTGAGCTGTAACTTAAAAACCATATTCATAAGTACATTGATATTATCAATACTAGAATCGATACCAACGAACAACCTACTACAATAGAAGAAAATAACCTTGCGAATACACTATCTATTCCATCTATCTGGAATACCCAAAATGTGAACACGCATGCAAACATTGAGCCGTTGTCCAGTCTCAACCATAAACCTGGAACCCCCAGTAGAGCAAAACTCCAGTAACTTTCCGATCACTGATGACCCCACAGACCCCACACATTACTACACCCTGCACTCCCTCCGCCTCCTAAATAATGTCCAAACTACCAAAACAGAATCTGTCTAAATCTCGTATTCAGTCCCTTTTTCTTACCAGTTGTTCAACAGATGTTTTCAGGCTACATAACTCGGCTTTGTCTGGGTCTTCCTTTTGCAGAATTTTGCTTGCTTTGTTTGCCACTTTACTCACATGCGCTTTGTGAGCACATTGTGAGGCTTGTAATCTTGCAAGCTCCTTCATTCTGATCCTGTTCATGCCACCATGTACTGATCTGCAGGTTTCAAATGAATGATGGAGGAAACAGCAAGTATTTTCCTTGATTTATTGCATTTACATATACAAATACATTTACATAAACATTTTAATACGATAGAGAAGCGCATAACAAAACATGTGTTCACAGGATCATGTGATCATATATGTCAACTGAACTATATGTATTATATATATATATCTCGACTACAGCTTCGCGACAATTGATATACAATATCGCGACTGTTTCAGATAATTGAATATAAACAATTACACCTCACCGAAGTCCTGGATCACCTTACTTGCACACAATTATTACAGCAATGGCATGTACCTAGAAAGAATGAGTCTGATGAGGCAGTCCTGTATGAAAGCATTTTTTTTAAAAAGGCTGTCTATGAGAAGGATAGTGAAAACAATAGTAAGTGTAAAAAATCACAACTGCCCAATGAAGTGTATAATACCACCCCAAATTTTGCTAAAGTAATCAAACAAACTGAAATCAGGAAATTAGCCAGCAGTTTGAATTCTCATCAGGAGGAAAGCTATCTTGGATGGTTGCTAAAGTCAAATGATTGTAAGCCATATTCGAGGCTGCCCACCAGAATCTTCCATCAAAACTGAATTCCTCACTATGAATCACTGAAGACACACTGAATTCCTCACTATGAATCTTAATGACACTGCTATCCGTAAAGAAGTTTTAAATAATTTACAGTCCATTTCGGTTGAACAATCAAATAGCTATAGTGACACAGTAGAGGAATTAGGGACCTTAAGATCTACGACGTCAATAATCTACAACGGCAAGCGGAAGTAGTTTTGCAATGTTTGCAGTAAATGCGCATGCGACGCAAACCTGGCGTCGTCGAAAAAGGTCGAGAACGTGAAAACAAGTAGTTTGGCGTCCCAGCTACAACGTGAACGCTTTTTTAAATTTTCTGGTCATTTTAGTTGCTGTAAGTATCATTTATCAGTATTTAAAACTTGTTTTTAATCACTTCTATACAAGTAAATAGATAATTTTCATATTTTTTTTTCTAAAGACAAAAAATGCTAAATGACAGCTCTTTCATTTTTTGCAGTCGCAGACACGACTGATCTGATGGAATGGTCAGATGAACACGATGTTTTGCTGGGCCGGGAGATACTTTTAGTCGACCCATTTAAAGCTAAACCCCGAACAAATCTCCGTGGTCAGTTATGGACAAAGATAGCAGATTCTTTGAACGGTTTGAAGGTTCCAAAATTTTCTGTATCTCAGAGATCTGTTCGTGATCATTTCAAACTTTTGGCTGAAAAATTTAAAAAGAAAATTTCAGCTGAAGAGCGCGGGTCTGGAATATCTCCAGAAATGTCAGAGTTAGATGTCTTACTGGAAGAAATCCTTGAACTTGAGGAAAAGTATAGTGAAGAGTATATGCAAGACACAGCAGAAAAAACAAAAAAGACAAGAAGACAAAGAAAATGCAGAAGATATGAGGTTGAAGGCCATGGAGACTTTAAAAGAAACACAGAAGAGAAAAGCATTAGCTGATGGGAATGAGAAAAGAGAAAAGAGAAGAAGCAATGGGTCAGAGGCTTTGAGTTTTTTACGGGAAAGGATGGATAATGAGAATGAGTATCGAGAGAAGGAATTAGACATGAGGAAGAAAGATGTTGAACTGGAAGAGAAAAAAATAGAGCGAGAAGAAAAGCAGCATCAAGATATAATGCAAATGATGCAAATGCAACAAATGCAAATGAACTTTTTCCAGTCACAAGCCCAACAGCAGCAGCTTTTGATGGGAATCATTGAGAAACTGTCAAAATAAACAATTGAAATATGGGTAAGAATCTTTTTAATGTTTAAATGTTACGGTGTTCTACCCAACTGTTTGTTATTATAACTGTTACATAAGGTAAACAAATGAGGGCCTTTCACAAAGGATTTCTGATGGATTTCCCCCCCTTGTCTAGCATTTTCTGAATTGGTGACCCCATTCCCCTCAAACATCTGCAATGTTTGCAAAAAGGTATGCATGCACCTTGTATATCTCAGTGGAAAAAGCTATTATTTCACAGCATTGTTAAATTCCTCATTGAAGAAAAAAATTAGTTAATATAGAGTTAAAATTTTAAATGGAGGCAAAATGATTGCTACACCCCCTATGCCTGCATTTGTTCTGACCCATGACTTGAACATTCTTTGTGAAATGGCCCCTAATAACAATCTTGAAATAACAGTAATAATAATAAAATGAATGTCAGCCTGTTAGGCTATCATATCTATTTGTAAGAACTATGTTATTAAACTTTTCTTGATGTTTATAATGTATTTCATGAATTATTCTTCAGCAAGATACTCTTGGATTTTAGGTGGTGGAAGGTCGAAGAATTCAGATGTTATATTGCCATACATACATGTAATGCAATTTCTCAATATACCCGATACAATGTACATTTTTCCAACAGCACTTAAAGCAATTTTTAAGTTCTTTTTAAAGTCAACAAATTTAAAACTATTGACAATGTCCCAAAAAGCCATTCTACAGAGACACGAACACTACTCATACTTTTGTTAAATGCCTCCATGTCAGGATTAGGTTGTACTAGTCTGAATGGAGCTTGTAGATGAGTCCTGAGTGGGTACGCAGGATCCCCATAAATGCACATTGGTTGCCCATTTGTGCCATAGGCATGCTCTTCCAGCATTTCCATTAGCCCCGAGTATCGAAGCATGCCAGCATCATGTCTCTTTCCCTCTACAAATAAAAAGAAACAGATTTAACACTTTAACACTTATTACCTGTCCCCCCAGACTGGATAAATGCAAAGTAACCTTTAAAGGGATTTGTTAAAATCAAATTCAGAATAAAAAGATCAGGTTAAAAATGCACGTACTTACCCACAGGCCCATAAAGGTTTGCTAATGCCATTTGGGGTTACCACAGATTGAAATTTCAGGGCATGGTGCCTCTTGTGGCCATTGTAAACATGTTTTTGGTGTTCGTCTGGCCTACAAATCGCTTTCACAGTCCCATCAACGAACCCAAAACAATTTGTAAGTGCTGCTCCTTTGTTTGTGATAGCCTCTGCATATCTTTCCAGTTGTATGGGGTTAAGCAGCAGATTGTTCCACTGTTTAATACGGTGGTTGTGGCGTTCGTAAACAAACGAAATCACTTCGTTAAAGATCATCGATAGCTCTGGCACTGGTCTGCCAAAGCGCGGAACCAGATCACTCAAACGGCAAGGATACTATAACGCCGAAGCTTGAGACAAAGGCCTTCTGTTCCGTTGCATATCGTTCTTGTGGGCAGTAAAACTTCAGGAATCCTCAAAGCCGCAGCTAGATCTGGAATGTCATGTTTTCTGAACTGAAATTAGCAAAACACTCGTCTTCCCCCAATTCGTCAAGCTTGAATCGCCCATATGATTCGTACGGTAAATATAAGTTTTTGGGCGTGTACAACTGGCTTAGAATTGCAAACTCAACGTTGTCTATATCTCCGAGTGCATAACAAACTGTTATGAGTGCTCTTTAAAATTCATTTACATGATGAAAAATACCTTTTTTAATTGAAATTTTCAAATTTGTTTGTTTACAATATGACGTCAACGTTGTCAATTGCAACGTTGTGAATCTTAAACGGAAGTAAAACGACGCTCGACCGCGTCCTCCCTAGTGCTCTACTCGGATATGAGGTTGACGTCAAGGTCGAGTCGTAGATCTTAAGGTCCGTATTAAAGCATGCTGCAAATATTACACACTCAGAAGTATTCCAAATTGAAAAAAATACCAGGGATCAATCTTCCAGTGAGAAATGGTTTGAGGAGCGCAATAAGAGGCTCACATCATCTAATTTTGGTGCAGTAGTTAAGAGAAGGAAAACAATTTTCCCAACCTTGTTGCTTAACAAAATTAAAAACCAGGCTAAAGTCCTGAACCCTGTCAATGGGGAAAAGATAAGGAAGAAAAGGCTATTACAGAAAACTGTAAATTAGAAAGAATGAAGGACGGGGTGTTAATGTATGAGGGGTGATTTCCGCCATAATTAACTATGAGTATTATGCACTGGAAAAAAGCATTTACTTATTGCACCTTGCATTTAGGAATAAGGTCTCGTATTCAGTTATTCTCGTTTGCATTTCGATATTCAATTTTACATTTCATTATGCTGACGTAATGTTATGCATGACCCTCAGTGAACGATTTTTGAACAGTGACCGCGTAACACTGGAGCTGAGTATTTATGGAAATTTTCCCGCGGCTTTTATGTAAAAACATGGCGAATAGTTCGGAAAATTCGGATAATGTAAATCATGCTGTTCATCTTTTGCGCGAAGCTGCAGGCGTACTTGATCGAAACAACTCCAGTGTTTCATCTCCTGGTGCTGGTGGCAGTGGTCTACATGATGCCCGGACGCCATCAGCTGTAATATCAGCAAACAGTGGATCAGATTCTAGCAGTCACACGAGTTTCGCTACGCCAACAACGGAAGCTCTACGCAACTTTCGTTCGCTTTTTGCACCTTATGCTGGCAATGCCACTACTTCTCGTGATCGGCCTCCACTCAGACCACCTCCAAAGAAGGTATGCAGAAGAAAAGGTCAAGTTTATACTGCGAAACAAAAGGAAACTTGGACACATGAAGTTTGTTGTTTAGCCAATATGGACGAACAAGTAACTCCTACACATGAAAGAAAGGAAACCCTTCAAAATGCTGGCTTGGGTAAAAGTAAGATAAAATTTGATGCAAATGGCAATGCCGTTGAATTTAAGGCCAAGTTGGAAGAAGTATTTCCAAAACTTATCGATGGTCAGGGGTTTGAGCTGATGAGACACAGCACATCGGGCAGTCTAACTATTATCAGTCCACCGGCTAGTGGTTATACTGCTAAATATCTGCGTGATTCCTCTGGAATTGGTCAAGCACTGCTGTTCATACGTCCACTACAAGCGAACCTTGATATATCTCCACAAAATACTGATGTCACAAACTCTGATTCTGAGGTAAGGTGATAAGTTCTAGGATTTGTTAATGTATGGCCACTGCCTGTTTTTAGTTTTTTGGATATATTTATAAAATACTTATAAAGCCAATCTTGCGTTTTATAGGAAGTTGATGAGGCTCCCAAAGTCTCTTGCATAAACTGCAACCAGATTTTTCCAGTCACACTCATAACGCACCATCAGTCAGAATGTATTGAGTACGTAACTCTAACTGTATTGAGTAAATCTTATTTTTCAGGTAAAATTGGTAGAAATAAAAAATCCAGGGCAGCGATAAAAGGCCTTTGTTGGATGACACCGCAGAAATTGGTGTTTAAGACGTTTCAACCCGAAAATCTAATCGCTGGTTCACAATTGTGCATTTCTGTATCGCCCTATCAAAGAGAAACCTTTTGAATATCTTAAAAAAGTTCAATTTTTCTTCTGAATACGCATTCTGCAATCTTTTGACAGCTCATCATACACATCTGACCGCTGTGAAATGGCCATTTTGAGGTTTAAAGTATACACAAGGTTATTAATTCAGACGATTCGTTTTTACCGTGAGCAAGCTTCAAATCTTTTGTGCAAGACATATTTTCTTGAATATTTATAAATCTTTTTCCTCACCAAGTTTGAAGTCTAAGTATCGAGAATTGCGGCTAAGCCTATACCAATTTCCGCGGTGTCTTGTTGGATACATGTTAATTAGATCATTTTTAGTTATGTAACAGAAATGTCATCTTGCTTTTATTAATTTCACTTAATTATTTGACTTGTAGGACATTTATAGATGATTGCCCTTCACAGCCACCAGATAATCCTAGTGAAGTAAAGGTATAGCATAATAGCAGTTTAAATGTATGGTCAACATTAGTGTTTATGATAGGTCTAGAATCAGGCAGACAATGGAAATTTTAAAATCATATTACTCAATTTATATAATTAAAATCACAGAAATGCAGGAACCTAATTTACTTTGCTAGCAAATATTGTAGTTTAGAGAAAAATCTTTTTAATCCTTATTTTTGTAGGTTACAGATATAAGAGTGTCACTGCTCTTACCTCAGCTCAAACAAATTTTCCCTAATCACAATGATTCTTATCTGCAATTAACATTAGAAAATTCTGATTTTTGTGGATGTTGCAGCAGAGATAATTTTAGGAAGTGGTAAGTTACAGTATGATCAAAAATTCTTATTTATGCTATAAGTATGTCCCTATAATTACTTTATATTTTGTGTTAGATTCTCAAGTGTTAGTTCATCAGACTCAAGTGATGTTGAATTGGCTCTAAACAGCACCCTTGCTACACCAATTGTTTTGCGAGATGAAAGAGAGGCCTGTAGTGATCCCATATCATCCTATCAAATGCAATTATAACTTTTAGAGAGAGTACAATCTCTTCCAATTGTCCCCGCCAAGTGTTCAGAGTTTGCCGAAGTGAAGGTGTCGAACAGTTGAAGCTTGACATATTAGCAGCCTATAAGAACCCCAACACAAGTCTTAAAGCAAACCCAAAAGTCTGTTTTAAAGGGGGAGAGGGAGTTGGAACAGGACCTGTTCGGGAATTTCTTTTCTATGCTGTTAAGCTGGCAGAAGAGGGTATTGATTTTCCTACAAAACCAATTTATTTCGAAGGGGAGGAAGATCAAAATTGCCAGTCCATAATCAAGCGCTTAGGCAAACTGGAAGTTTTAAAGCAATTGGACGGATTCTGGCCCATTCATTTTTGCATAGTGGACCATCTATGGGTGGCCTGTCTGCAGCTGTCAAACATTATTTTACATGCATAAAAGACAAGGATGCAATTGCAAGTCCACCACCACTTGAGATTA